TGGACCCGCGCGGAAGGAAAAGCGATCGTCGTGGGCGGTCATGCACAATGCAAGCAAGATGTACGCGATCACGTTGCAGAGTACCTGTCGGGGGGAGGGTGGGGTGGAATTGGGAGGGGGAAAGATGAGATCCGAGAGAAGGAATGGTGCCTGTCGTCACTCCCTGACCATGGACACGCGCCGGGCTTCTGTTTTCGGGGGCATTTTTTGGTCCGCGGGCGCGCGGAGACGAGCCCAACGCCGACCGTGGCAGGGCGGGCCACGCTCCGCAGCATAAAGAGAGAAACCGCGAGGCGAGCGGCGGCAAGCGGAACAACAACACGCAACACCACCCAGCCTGCGATCCGGGGCGCGAGAACGACCACAGCCGCCGCTTTTCTTTTGCTGCCGCCTTCCAGCCCGCAGAAGCAAAGCAGTGGTTGTGGTCATTTTCATTGAGCTTGGCACCAGGGAAATGACCACAACCACTGCTTCTTTTTCGGCCGGCTGGAAGGCGGCGCGAACAAGAAGCAGTGGCTGTGGTCATTTTCCCGTCCCGCACGCGAGCAACCAGGAGAGCGCGCCGAGCACGAAGAGCGCGAAGGCCCCGGGCGGCACCCCTGCGGAACGCGAGAAAGTCGAAGCGCCCCGAAAGCACGGGCGAGGGAGGGACGCAGCCAAAATGGCGCGACGGAGCCAAGACGCGGAGGAACAGGTGGTACACGTTGCCGAGCGGGAAAAGCACCACCGTGTGCGAGCGCAGGAAACGCAGCCAAAATGGCGCGGGGAAAGGACCCCCGGTGGCCAGATGTGCGGGTAGCGGCGCCGCCCATGAACACCCCGAGCCAGTCGGAGAAGACACGGTCGACGAACCCCAGGTAGACAAGAGCGAAATGGTCGAGCATGTAAAACCGTGGGCCACACCTGACAAGCGTCGACAGTCATCCAAGTAGCCGCGATCAGCGCACACCCAGGGGCAGGAGACAGGGGCAACCTCGTCGTAGAGGTAGGACTTCAGGACGGCCGTCCCGACCAGCGCTGCGCGCCCCACGCGCGCGAACCCGGATATTGAAGATGACCGGCACGAGAGGGCCGTGCAAGTGAGCACCGCTCATCAGGTAGCCCGGCAGCCCGAGGCTGGAGCGGCGGGTGGCCGCGCGGAGGCCGGCGCCCGCAAATTCCTGCCAAGGTGGCCGCGGCGCCTTGGGCGAAGCGGGCCACTGGCAGGGGCGGGGCGCGTCCGCCCAGCCAACCGACACGAACCCTTGCAGCCGCCACGCGGTGGGGCGGACGGACGCGAAGCCCAGAAGAGCTGGCGCCGCACCAGCTGGGCCAAATCCACAACAAGTTCATAAGAGGCAACTGATCGCTGCAAGCACTCGGAAAGCCTCGGCAAAGGAATACCCAAGGTAAGCAGCTGATCGCTGCAAGCACTCGTAAAGCCTCCGCAGAGGAATACCCAAGGTAAGCAAGAAACGAATCGCTTTGACGGAATGGATGACCTCGGCAGAGGGGTTCAAGGTCAAGCTGGCAGCTGATCGCCGAAGAAACACAAGACCTCAGCAGAGGTATGCCCGAGGCGAAGCCCAGTCGCAGCGGGCCAACGCGGAGGAAGTGACGGCGGGCGGAAAGGGGGGGTGGGGAAGGCAGCTGATCGCTGCAAGCACAAGAGTAGCTCCCACCCAGGACGGGGTGCGAGGAAGAAGGTGCGGTGGGAATGGTGGAAGGTGGCTACCAACGGTGTCTCTTGCCCGTGGCAGGCTCGCCCCAGCCGCGGCTGCGCTGGCCCTGCTTGCCGCTTCCTGCCACGGAAGCATCGCGGTCTAGCCCGTTGCCGGGGCGCCCGGCGTTGCTCTGGTCGCCCGTCGCCTGGCCCTGGCGCGGGCGGTCGAAATTGGCGCGAAATCTGCGCCGTCGGCCGAGAGAATGGGCGTCGCGGCCGTTCTGTCGCCAGGCAGCCCCTGGCGGCTCCCCTTAGGGGTGCTGAAATGAGCGCCTCGCTCGAGACATCCTCCAAATCTGCTCCGAAAACGAAGGATGTTGGGCACAGAAACAGGCAAACCGCCTGAGACATCCCCACAAAATGGCCGCGAACGAGCCCGTGCAACCACCCCTGGCGGCTCCCCTTAGGGGTGCTGAAATGAGCGCCTCGCTCGAGACATCCTCCAAATCTGCTCCGAAAGCGAAGGATGTTGGGCACAGAAACAGGCAAACCGCCTGAGACATCCCCACAAAATGGCCGCGAACGAGCCCGTGCAACCACCCCTGGCGGCTCCCCTTAGGGGTGCTGAAATGAGCGCCTCGCTCGAGACATCCTCCAAATCTGCTCCGAAAGCGAAGGATGTTGGGCCCAGAAACAGGCAAACCGCCTGAGACATCCCCACAAAATGGCCGCGAACGAGCCCGTGCAACCACCCCTGGCGGCTCCCCTTAGGGGTGCTGAAATGAGCGCCTCGCTCGAGACATCCTCCAAATCTGCTCCGAAAGCGAAGGATGTTGGGCACAGAAACAGGCAAACCGCCTGAGACATCCCCACAAAATGGCCGCGAACGAGCCCGTGCAACCACCCCTGGCGGCTCCCCTTAGGGGTGCTGAAATGAGCGCCTCGCTCGAGACATCCTCCAAATCTGCTCCGCGAAGGATGTTGGGCACAGAAACAGGCAAACCGCCTGAGACATCCCCACAAAATGGCCGCGAACGAGCCCGTGCAAACCCCTGGCGGCTCCCCTTAGGGGTGCTGAAATGAGCGCCTCGCTCGAGACATCCTCCAAATCTGCTCCGAAAACGAAGGATGTTGGGCACAGAAACAGGCAAACCGCCTGAGACATCCCCACAAAATGGCCGCGAACGAGCCCGTGCAACCACCCCTGGCGGCTCCCCTTAGGGGTGCTGAGTATGAGTAAGTCTGTGTATGAATAAGTCTGTGCATGTGTACGTCTGGGTATGACTAATACTGTGCATGAGTAAGTCTGTGTATGAGTAAGTCTGTATATGAGTATGTCTGAGTGTGAGTAAGTCTGAGTATGAGTAGGTCTGAGTATGAGTAAGTCTGAGTATGAGTAAGTCTGTGTATGAGCAAGTCTGAGTATGTCCGACAGGAGGGGAGGAGAAAAGAGGAGGAGGAAGGAGGAGGAGTAGGAGGCGTCCAAGTAATAACAAGAACCCCATCTTAGGATATGGGGAACAATACGATCCCACTCCACTCGCCACGTGGCAATAACATGGGGAGCGAACCAGAAACATACCTCCGCTCTACTCATCACATGGAAATGCCGCGCGGGCCGAACATATAGAATCCAATTCTATTCGCCACGTGGCAGCGCCGCGGGCGGGAACACGTAGAGGACCACTCCGTTCGCAACGGGGCAAAGACAGGCCGGTGAACCGAATCCATTACAACTTTGCGCGCCATGCGGCAAAACAAGACAACTCTATCGGATTCGACGTGGAACGCCGCGGAAGCGAACACCAAAATCTACTCGGCACGTGACTCCAACGCGGACGAAGACGACGAGGACGACGAGGACGACACGAGCGACGACGACGACGACGACGACGACGGGCGACGATGCCGACGACGACGACAATGACAAGGACAATGACAACGACAATGACGACGACGACGATGACGATGATAACGACGCCGCCGCCGCCGCCGCCGCCCCCGCCCGCCCGCCCGCCCGCCCGCCCGCGCGCCCGCCCGCCCGCCCGCCCGCCCACGCGCCCGCCCGCAGGCACGCACGAGAGGTGGGAACGTATATCTTCATGGTGAGACGTCGGCACGTCGGCAACAAGTGCAGCGGACCAACCACATCAAGTCAAAACTGCAGAGGATGTGAAACGCAAGATAAGTCAAGCAACTTCAAATAATACTGGCGCAGGGAAGCACGGGCAAGCCTCGTTCTACCGCCTCGTTCCTAATACCATCTCCTGCCCCTTCACACTCCTCCGACCTCATCCTGACGCCTACTACCTCGCCCTGTCTCCTTCGAGATCCCCTGCTCAGGTGTTCTGGGACCCCCCCTCCCAACTTGTCGTATCTCGCCCCTCCGAGGATTTCGGGTTTGGGCCCCCAGCGTTTTCGGGTTTTGCGCCTGTCGGAATTTCGGGTTTGGCCCTACCAGCTTTCGGGCTTCGGTGGAGTTTCCGGGTTCGACCGTCTTCCGCCCAAAAGTGCCTCCAGAGAATCGCCGAGAGGGCTCCAAGAAGCCAAAATCATCACATTCTCTTTGAAAAGCGTACATGTTCATCACATTCGCATTTACGTTATGACAGCGAACACGACGGCCCAAATGGCCCCCAAGATCGTCCTAAGACGGCCCATGATCTTTCCAAGAAGGCCCCAAGAGGCCCCAAGACGGCCCAAGAGGGTCCAAAGACAGCCCCAGGGGCCCCCCAAGACGGCCCAAGACAGCCTCTGGAGGGCCTCAAGAGGACTCCAAGAAAGCCCAAGAGGGAGAATACGAACTCACATTTCGAGCCTTTCCCACCGAGATTGCCCCTCGAGCCCCCCAGAGGCCCCCGAGGGCCCCCGAGAGGCCCCCAGAGGCTTCCAAAACGCCCCCAAGAAGCTCCCCAGAGGCCCCCACGAGGTCCCAAAAACGCCCCCACATGCCCCCATGATATTCCAAGAGGCCCCAGAGAGGCATCCCAAGAGCCCCTCATATTAATCCAGGAGTCTACTGGCCCAAGAAATAACTTCCACGATCGCCTCAAGCACTCACTCCTTGTGGGGGTTAGCGGAATGGCGTAAACCACTTGAATACTTGTTGAGGGGGAAGGAGGACCACCAGCAATTGTGATAGGACGGCAACTGACAGTGCTTCGGTGCGACACTCCTGCACGTGCTGAGGGCGAGGACCAAGATCAGCGCGAAAACGACTGGTCGCTCGATCGGGCCTTTCCTGGCTCTCCCCTGCCCTCCCCTGCCGTGGAGCGGGCACCAACAACGCTTGTGGCAAGGACTTGCGCTGCCGCAAGTCGTACATTGTGAAGCAGAGCACGCGGATGCCCAGCGAAACCTTAGCGCCACGAATCCCTGCCTCAAGTCGTGATGAGAGCACGGCGTTGGGGGCCAACGGAACTCCCTGCCCGGGTGCCTCCCAGGTCGATGCACGAGGGCCCTCTTGAGACGGAGCTCCAAAGGCCGAAACCGCAGTCATGAGTCGCATGGAAGTCTGCCACCGCGCTCTGCCGCATGCAGTGTGCGCTGGGCCCCCTGCCGTCGCTAAAATCCTCATCTCCCCTGAAACTGACGCTGCGAAAACATCGCCGCCCCGCAAAATCACGACGCCGAGCCCCATGCCCCGCCTCCCTGCGGCACCCTTCGAGCCGGGTCGACCTGTGCTGGCCCCCAGGCCTAAAGTCGGAGCTCTTCGCCCCGTGTGAAAAAGCTGCACCGCTCGGATCTCAGGCACTTTGAGGGCAAAACTTGTGTCCATATCCACTGCAGCTTAGGGTTTCGGGCTCCCTTCCCCAGAGAGCCGAGGAGCACTGGACATGGATAAACATCGCCCCTACCAGAGGCTCGAAGTTTATCCCTATCCAGTGCGCCTCGGCCATGCGGCGCCCCTCCCACGAAAGTCCAAGACGCCCTGGATATGGAAATAAATATTGCCATATTGCCCGCGCACTCTGCGAAAGCAACTCGAGGGGGGGGCGCTCGGCTCGAGCGGCTCCGACCCGCCAAGGGCCGCACGCCGCACGCCGCCCGGCTCGGTGGGAGCGGTTGCCGCGGGCGCTCGTCTGCTCCGTGCGGCCGGGGGGGGGGGCCTGGCGACGAGGCGGGCGGAGCCCTTGGCACCCGGGGCACGAGAAGAGAGAAGGGAGAAGGGTGAGAGGAGGAGGAGGAGGAGGAGGAGGAGGAGGAAAGCCCATTTGGCCTCTGGCGGGCCCGCCGATCCCGACCGATCCATCGGGGTCGGTCGCGCCTGCCGCCGCCCGATCGCTCGTGCGGTAGGCGGGGCGCTCGATCGGCCAGCCCGCGGGGCGGGGCTGAAGCGCGCCGCGCGCCATACCGCGGCGAGGGGGCCACCGCCGCCCCCCAGTCCCCTCGCCGCGGGGAGCGGCGCCTGCGGCCGCGGCAGCGGCACCCTCGGCAGCACGCCGCGCGGCTGGGAAGCCGCGCCAGAGCCCGCGTGGCATCGCCGCGAGAGCCGCGGTCACGCGCGACTACTGCTTCGACTGGCAGCCGCGAAGGAGCTGCTCTGGGAGCACCACTCGGCGCAGCAGCACCAGCGCAACCAGCAGCACAACGGGGACCAGCAGCACCCGTTCAACCAGGACACAATGCCGAAGGCGCCGTGGCAAGGATGGAAATGCATGAACAACATGTGCGGAGCATGGAACTCAGATACCCAGTGGTGGTGTAAATGCGGTCAGCCATGGAAAGGCAACGTACGAAGCTGGAAGGAGATTGACGGAGACACCACCAAGTGGAACAAGAAGAAGAAGAACCAGGACAAGGCCATTCAGGACGTGATCAAGGCCACGGCACCATCGACGGACCGTGAAGCACGAAAGAGCAGAAGATACGAGGACCCTCCAACGGACCACGAAATGCTGCGAGCCTTCAAGCATAAGACGGAGAAGGAGATGATAATATTGGCAGGGATCATAGTTGCAAAGCGCCAGGACCAGCAGGATGTTATGCAGGAGACAAAAGACATGGCGGCGCTGAAACACATGATGGTGATGACACAACCTGCCAAAAAGAAATTGCACGAGCTCCGAGCAAATCGAGAACGACTCCAAAAGGAACTGGCATCCTTGAGAAAACAACACAGACAGATGGAAGAAGATATGCAGAAAACGGAAAAGGAGCTCAAGCTGGCGATTAAGTACCTCACGGAGCAGGAGGCCATCGCCAACGAGGATGAGCTGGAAATGGCGGACATATCTAGTTCAGAAGACAGCAACACCGACAGCGACAACAATAACACATAAGAACAAGAAAAGCTGAGGAAAGCGGAGGAAGAGGAACACAGGAGAAAGAGAAGAGAAGAAGCTGAGGAGAATGATGCGAGAATAGAGAAGCAAGCGAAGGACAAGAAGAAGGAACGCCAGAAGGAGGAAGATCGGAGGAGGACCCAAGATGAAGAAGAAATAATCAGAGCAAGCAAGGAGGAAATACAAAGAAGGAGAGAAGAAAAAAGAGAAGAGATAATAAGAGCGACCAAGATGGAGGAAGATAGACAAGAAACAGAGGAGATGCAGAGGCATATAAAACAACTGGCCGAGATGAACAAGGAAATGGCGGACAACGTCAATTAAGCAACAAAAAGAGCCATGACAGCAGAGGCAGCTGGACAGGAGCAGCACAACGAATATGAGCAAAACGTCATGAAGCTAAGACAAATACTGGCACATTATCAGCATGAACAGCATGGGAAGCACAAACACATGCAAGACACGACGATCCAGGCATGCGCCCAAATGAGGAAGATGCAAGAAGAAAAAAGGCAGGAGAAGGAGGAGATGGAGAATAGGCTGAGACAGGGCGAGTACGCACGCAGGAGGGAAATACAGGCGATGCAGGAGCAGCACAGGAAGGAGGCTGAAGAAATGCGTGCGCAGGCACAAAGATGGCAGCAAAACATACAAGCCGACTACGCCAGACTCGCCAACATCGCCATGGAGGAAAAGGCACAACGTGAAGCAGAGCAGTTGAAGCAAAAAGAAGAACAAGAGAGACAACTGCAGGAAGAGATGTGGAGGAAACAAAAATGGCAAGAGGCACAGTTGGCGGCACAGGAACAGCTGATGAGGGATGCCAAAGTACAGGAGCTCGCGCAACAAGCAGAGGAAGCGAGAAAACAAGAGGAGGCGGAGAAGCAGCAACGCCAGAGGAGGGAGAAGATGAGGAAGTGGGAAGAAGACAAAGAGGAGTGGAGAAGGAAGAACAACTTCGGACCACAAAAACATCCAGAGCTCGACCCAGCAGAAGAAATCGAGAGGCAGCGAGAGCTCGAGAACGAGGAAATGATAAGACAAGCAGAAGAACAGGATATGGTAGAAGAGAAGCAGAAAAACGAAGAGGCAGCAGATGATTATGAAAAGCAGGCGGATGAGATGCTCAACCCCGCGATGCCGATGCACGGACCAGAATCAGACGAGGAAGGCGCATGGTGGGACTGGGAACAGCAAAGATGGAGGCCTCAAAGCGAATGGACCCCGACACAGACGCAAGGATCACGAGACTGGTATCAAGAGATAGGTGAAGAAGATGACTACGAGTGGTATTGGAAGCAAAAACAAGAGGAGGAGAGACGGCAACGACAGGCAGAAGAAGAGGAACAAATAATGGCAGAAGAAGTGGAAGAGCTGAGGAGGAGAGAAGAGGAGGCAGAAAGGGAAGGCCAGAAGATGAAGCAGGCGGACCACGAATCCAGATACACAATAGGAGCCGTCCCCCTGTCCCAGATATACGTGACAGACATGAAGGAAGGGTAAGGGGATATGGAAAATGCTAAAGCGGAGGAGAGCGGAAGCAAGGACGACGACACAACTAAGGAGGAGGAGGAGATAAGCAAGACGGTCACGATGAACCCACAATGCCAAGAGGCGAAAGAGGAGGAAAAGGGATAATGTATCCAGATCACAGAAAGTAGCGAAGCTGAGGACGACACCGAGCCAGCGGACACAGAAGCGGAGGAGAGGCAGAAGGAGGCGAAGATGTCAAGGAGAAGGGCAAGGACTCAGTTCTTCGCACTCACACCGCCCAGACAGGTAGACAGCGCTGAGAGTGCGGCAAGAGGACCTGCAAGGCAAAAGACACATGGCGGTGAAGAAGGTGGAGAGGACTTGCCCAAGAGGTGGGCTTTTAGGGCCCGCCCCCGACCTCCTCAATCCTGGGGGGGGGGTCGGGGGCAGCACAGACAGACGCCGGCCCCCAATAGGGGGCAAACGAGTGAGCGAACTCAGACTGACACCGTGAACAGCAGCGACAAAGAGCGGCGGCATGCCCGAGCTCGACATCGCCAGCTACTTAGACGGCAGCGAGCCGCTCACCAAGAAGATGCAAGAACATCGACAGCGAATTCAAAGGCGACGAACATTTTTGGCAAGAATTCATTCGGAGAGTTCGAATGCAACGAGGCTGGGAGCCATGGGTACCGCACCAGCATCGACGACCTCCAGGACACAACGACTCGGCCTCACGGTCTGGGCAACGGCGACGCGACCACGGTGGGCAACCTACGCGGGGGACGCGAGAGCAGACCCGACCAAGTGAGGACACCGAGGCGACCTGCAACAGTCAGGGCACAGGAGGCAGCTGGACCTCGACGTAGATAGATCAAGTAATAGGAAGGGGCTCGGTGGCGACGGCGAGAGGAACATGAGTGGCGACATGGAGGGCGCAAAGAAGCTGAACGCAGGAGAAGGAAGAGACCGAGATGGCCCACAAGAAGACAGAGAAAACGAACGGGGGGAAGAGCATCTTCGAGATCAGCAGCACAGAGGACAAAAAGAAAGACCAGACCAACCAGAAGAGGTATGGATGGCACAGTGCGAGATCCAGCCAGAGGGGATGCTCACATAATACCTTCGTCGGCGGCAACCGTTAGAAATAAGGACGGACACAGGCGACATGAAATTGCACGACTTTGCGGAACTTGCCATACGTATGTGCCCGAAGAACGAGAAGCAACCGAAGATCATCCACATACACACAGATGGGAGCTACTACGATACGAAGCCAGAGGATACGTCGTGGTCCATCGTCATCACCATCTAACAGTGGATGGATTCAGCTTCTTGGGATATCTGACGGGCAAGGCAAAGGGAAGCACAAGGATAAAGCAAGAAGGACCACTAAACCACACTACAGGCGAGCTCACGGCTTTACTGTGGGCATACGTGGCAGCATATGCAAACTACAGAGAATACGAAGTCCACATCCACACGGACTGCGAAGCAGCACGTGCAGCAGCGGATGGTACCTCGGCTATTGCAACGGACTACGAACTATCGCGGCTGACGGCGCTGACAGCGGAAGAGGTGGGTAGAAGGATGAAAGTCA